CTAATAGTGTGGAGTGATGTAACGACAGATCACTAACTTGGCGAGCGTGCCTGATATAAAGTGCCCCAAAGTTTTATTTTTTAAGCAACGCATCGATTTTTTATGAGTTACACTCGAAAAGAATGCAGTGGTAGACCTGATGCAAGAAAAGTCGCCTTTTCTCGTCAGCATTAGCATGCGAAAGAGTTGTTTTGCAACATTATTCATAATACATTTCAAATAGTTGCTTGATTATTTTTTTGTTTAATTACAGTTACATTTCTTTTCGATATACTATCATCACAAACATATTAAAAGGCATCAAAGTAGGAATTATATTACGATAAGTTTTGAATGGAACAATTTAAATTATTAGAACAATTTTTATTATTTAAGAAACGAAGAAGACGATGTAGAGCAGCAGCGATATCTATTTTGCACAATTACTGATAAAATTGCAAATAATTTTAATTATGATTTTTTAGAATTTATGAATTTAAAATTTGTATACAGTATATAGGTATACTGACTGACGTGATAAGGCAACTAATTTGTACTATCGATGTATTGATCAAGTATTGCGAAAAATAACTCGGATTATTTTGAATATCCAATGCTGAGTGGCGATAATGCTCTTCCTGACTCGACGGGAAACCTCTATCGCGCGGTATTGGAGATCAGTTAATTGTTATCCCCCGTAAATAATCCTCGCAATGTATAATGTTCATCACGCAAATAAGCAAGTATAAGCTACTCTATCTTTCCCGGATAGTATCTATATAAGAGCTGACAGTATCGGAACAAGCACGTACCGCAGAATCACTCTTCTTCGTAGCCACGAATTACTTCGCGGGTGTCATTGGTATTTCTATTGGAATTTCCAACATTGGAGTTTCGCATGACCTTGGTGCGAAGAATGTCCCGAGAGAAGTTTGATATTCAAGGCACGTAATTATCCGAACATTCCTCTCTTCACACCTGAATAATATGTTATTGCAGCGCAAGCATATTAAAAATCCATAGCATGTGCGGGATATTGAACGGACTATATCTAAAATATTCCTCAAATTTTAATGTCTCTTTAATATTATTTAATATTATTTTAATCTCAATAATACTCAAGAAGACTTGCATTATAATATAAAGTTTTAGTGTGAAACTTCTTAAAAATATCAATCTTATTATCATATATTACACTGTTTAATAAAAAAATTATTTCTTTTTTCGAGCACAAGAACGAAAATAATCGTGTCTTATAGTTTTTTGGATACTGAATACGATCTCGTTTACCAAATTGCTCTATCACGTCACAATTTGAAGAACTTTGCAGTTAAAGTTGTAAAAAGGTATTTTAGTGTATTTTCACTGATATTATAATTACGATATCCCATATAGGGTTTTACAATCGGCCCAATACTGGACCAGTATAACTAATACTGTATTATGGGATGAAGTGTAGAAAAGTTTTATTGCAATCAAAATTAAGTATGTTGTTAGGACTTTCAGCCCTTAAAAGGAATTTCTTGTGTCGATTATGATTCAAAAGATATTGTTAATTAACATTCAACGTCCAAAAAAAACTACGGGAAACGATTATTCTCGTTCTTGTGCATTTTTTGTTGAACAGTGTTATCTCTAAATAATTGATATGTTTAATGTTTTAAATTTATATAGGCAGTGTGTGCAATTGAAAATATTCAGGCTATGGAATGCCAAGCATCAAATCTCACGAAATTAGTCGAAGGATTGTAGACGCGCGGCCACAGCTGGTTCGGAAAGTGCGATCGGTACAAAGACGGTTTTACGAGGCGTCGCGTCGCGGAGTTTCACGCTGCCGAAGTATTAGCGGCGAGCTCCGTGCAGACGTAATCTCAGATATTGTCCCGCGCCAGATTGGATTCGGCCGCTCGCTAAGGAGAAAAGACGGGACTGTAAAATTATGAAGTGAGATCCCCGCGATTTCTTAAGGGGGGTGAATGGAGGCGGCAACGCCTCGCAGGCGGCGTCGGTATCGTACGTGCTCGCGAAAGTTGGAGCACGGGTTTGGCTCGTCGTTGCCGTCGTCGTCAAGAGTTACTCGCGTCGGCGCTCGCTTTCAGAGACCGATAGAGTGCACACTCTACAGACTTGTTGATGCATATCCTCTCACGGAGGCATTTTCGCGTGCGACATTATGTAACTTTTGAAAGGTCGCGCGTATATTGCGCGCCGGGAATCGATGCCGGAGTAATATGCGTGCGTGGAATACGTCCCGATGTTACGTTTCTATACTTTCTCGCGTAAGTCATCGTTTTCTACGCCTTCAATCCCTCATCCCCCGGAGATACAGCCCGCAACAGTAGGTGATCACGATTCGTTGTATTTTTCATCTAACGCTTGAAAATTGAGCGTGGAAGAGCGATTTCTATACAGCGGAAAAACGTAGTCGGATAACAGCGATAATGTATCGATTGGTATCCGGTTGTGTATATTAGGTGATTAAATGCGCAATTATGTCAAACTTTAGATGACTTTAAGGAATATTAAATTGCTATTGAATTACCTTGATACAGAGCATATCAAAATAACGAGGTAACTAAGAAGAATAATTTGAAGGGAATATTTCCTCTATAAACAGACAAACGTCCCGACGAAAAAAAGTACACAAAAGCTGACGGTAATATTTAAAAGCACATTTTATATTCCACGCCTCGGGAGAATTGTATTGTTTTAAAGTACGAGTTAGATCTGCAAAAGAAATGGCGTGGAAAATAAGCAAAGAAGGCACGATCGCAAGACAGACGCGCGATGTGCGGGGTAGATTTACCGCATATCTTGCGCTCAATGGTTATCGATAGCGGCTTGAGTGGCTGCGAAACTTTGTAGCAGCGCGTAAACTTTGCAACGTCGCCATTCGCGTGAATCCGAATGTGACAGTTTTGAATATAGGGTGGAAAGTTCCGCATTGTGCTGCGCGCCGCACACCGCTACTCGTTAACTCTTCTCTCCGTGGCATTTAAAGCGGCCCCTATACTGCATTATCTCGCGAAACAATCGCTACTTTGTTAGTCATCGCATTGTACCGTGGTACATTCAACTTCAAAGGTGCGAATGTGCTTCGTTAGTATACCGTCAATCGTCGAGATTCTCGTATTCTTATCAGTCGTTTCCAAGGTTGTTTCCCTAGTCGATAAAAAGTTACGGAATAACGTGAATTTCATTATTTCTTAAACACGCATGTTCCTTAAATCAAACATGATTTAACAAAAGTTTGTATAATCTTTATTGACACGTTTTCTATAAAACAAGCACCACATTTTTAAACTTTCTATTATTTTCTAAAGGGCATGCATCAGAAATATTATCGTATAATGTATATTATTTATTACTTGTTGGGTCCTCATTTCACTAAAAAATTCACATACTATTACAATTACAAATTGCTACCGCAAAGTTCATTATTGCTATTGCTATTGTGAGCATAAGTGTAACTAGAATATGGTAATTGTGATTGCGACTAGGCATTGTCAATGTAATTTGGTATTTATTAATTGCAACCGCAACTCTGTTTAATACTAGCGTGATCCATAATTGCCTATATTATTAACGTTGTTGCATTCATCTACAACACCTATTACACGACGTGTCTCCGAAATACCAGGTTGAACTTACGTTGATTATACGAAACATAAATATATGCCGGAAGTTATATCTAACGTAAAATGTTTCAAAAGTTGAGTAGCCAGGAATAAATGTCTCGAGCACACGAAGTGTTTCCATTTAAAAAAAGTTACTTATTTGCAGAATACACATATACAAATGTGTTTTTATCCAATTATGTAATAATCATTCTATTCTTTTTCTTATCGTGATTTATATTTAACATTTTGACTGCCTAACTGGCATTCGACTGGGAGTTTGATATTGGGCTGTGCCATGGGAGACTCAAAATCGAGAAATATGCGGTTATTTATAAAATATGTAGAGTCAGATTACAAAATAAATTATATCAACAAAATAAATAAATAAATATAAGAAATATATTTATTTTTTACATCAGTAGGTATATATTTGATAATATAATTTCGAATAGAATAAATAAAACTGTTACTCACAAATTGATAATAATAAATCTTTTCGTAATTGAAACAAATATAAGCAGAAAAATAAAGAAATCAATAATTATGTTTTAAATAAATATATTAAAGAACGGAAAACATAATATAATAATGACTATAAAATTTCTAATTTTATATTTAAGTAAATTAACTTTGTTAAAAATTATTAATAATAAAATATAGAAGATTTGAATATCTTAATAGCAAAGCAGTTTATATTTTTTAATTTTATTAATAGACATTTTTCTGACCCCGTTTTATATGTCGATAGTAAAAGGTCGATAAAAGAACTTGTAGAATGAAATATAATCTTCTGAAAAAGCAAGTATATGTATAAATAGCTTTGAATTGTCCAGAAAACTAGACAGTAAACAATTGTTTCGATACCCTTTTCAAAAAGAATTCCTGCGCAATGCGACATCGTATACTGATATCTTAAATTTTTTCTATATTGATAAGAACATCGCGTATGTATATAATTTTAATCCAGAAAATGTATTTAAAGTTTTATTTTTATTTTCAAACATCTAATTAATTTTGTTTCGTATTAATTCTGAGGTATCTATTCAATTATCTAATATTATACGTTATATATTATTAATTACATCAAACATTATTAATTATAATCAAATATTATTAATTATATTAATTATAATAAGCTATTTTATTGGAATTTCATAATTACTACGTGAACACCGCAGAAAATTATTATGTTAGACGTGATATACGTAATTGTTTTAGCTTTATATTATTCTAGAAGACTACGCGAACAATGTTATACACTGTGCGCTGTTCACTTATTTGTCACGCGAATACACAGATAATCGATTGTCATCCTTCGCTCGTCGAAAGAAAAAGTATCGTGCGAAATACATAGGTTTTTACGTAAGATGCACATCTGTCATTTCTCGATCTTTTTTCTAGGATGCACACGCGATTCCTTGAGATCCTGGCCTCCCTTTCCCGAGGAGTCTCAGGTGAGCCCGATCCCGGAAGCTGCGAAGGGAGAATGGGCTGCGCGCGGTTGCGGGCGGCTCGTCGATCATCGCTGTAGGTCAGTATAGTCGATCTATCTTTGTAAAGCAACCCTTGTCGATGAGGGTACTGTCACGAACTCCTGTTTATCTCCCACAGGAATACGTATCGTGAATTCCCGCGACAAGGTAAACTCGCATGTTTTTGGCGTAAATTGACAGATTGCAACGCAGACACGTCGATGATATTCTCGCGACGCGTTACGAATCTAATTTGTCCAACTGTTCGCCGGCGAGAAACGGATACAGAGATCCGCGAAAATTCCATACGTTCATTCAAAATCTCGCTGTATCAAGTAATGTAAATAAATACGAAAAAAGAGAGAGTGTGTTTTATCTACACACAAATATTAATATTCTTATTATATAATATTTTAGATAAATTTTGTAGATGTGTATATATATAATTTTATTATTAATATAATTATTATATTATATTTAATATTAAGCTTACACTGGTTGCAATCTCTATTCAGTGCGAACAATGCGCTGGATACATAGCGGCAGTAAAGACTCGATAACGCGTCCGAGTTTTATCGATGCGAGTCTTTCCAGCTGTCGCGTCTCGTTTTCCGAGAAATTTGTGTTCAATAAATCTGGATTTTCCGACCATTCTGGCTTCGGGCTATCTCGCCAATACAGCACGGCGAAATTTCCGAGCTAACAGGTATAAGAGACCGCCATCTTGATATTGATCTTGTACCGGTTCCTTGGCATTTCCGGCTTGTTCTGCCGCTCTATGTGATGTTAGAACTATGTTAGCTGTTCTGAATAGGAATTTGGTGCTAACTACAAGTAGTCTCACGATTACGGGTAACAGAGCGTTGCTAATATCGCGTCTCGGGAAAGTCTTACATATAATCAGGATGTGATACGGAACCATGGTTGTTATGCCTGACATCGACTTTGATCTTCAATAGAAGATCACCACGAAGATAACTTTGAATATATATAAAGTAATAATAACTTTGAAATATGATAAAGTTCAAAATAAAACATACTTCTCTTAGAATATTTTTTTGGAGACTACTTTTATTTCTTTTATTTGAGACTTTGATTTATTGAGTAATTTAAAGTTAATTTTCAATAAAGATTTAATTAAATGTCGCTTCTTTTTCAGAATTAAATATTTCTTAAGGAAAAATAAGTTCTGAATTAATAAAAGCATCTATAATAACTAAAGGGGAATGGACTTGATTTATATTCATCGTGTTATTAAGTATCTATTATCTTATTAATAGCTGTAGCTATATCAAAATCTTTTCAAGAAAATTTCCCCTTTATTAATGTAATATCGCACGACGGCGTGAGCCATCGCATTTAGGACAAATTTACAGGTGAAATTTTTTCGATCGCGTTTCATTGTAGCCACGCTAAAGTTAACGTGGTGGAACAGCCTTGGTAAGTGCCGAGAGTTCTAGTTCTTGCTCGTTTACATGCAAATTAGATATATTTCACTCCGAGGTAGATGATATCGAACTCTACACGTTCGTAGCTCGCGTCTGTGACCCAATGTCACGGCCAATATACCGAAACTTTGAAACAACGCGAGACAGATCTGAAGTGCAATGATACGTGCAAAGGTACGATAATTGTTCAGCCAGCAATTTGTATTAAAAAACGTACGTTCTTTTTGAATCTTATCGACATGCTGTCTAAAGATATTAAAGAATCATAATATTAAACGTTAAGCGACACACATGTCGGTCATTTTCATCTCGATTATAAACAAAGGTGTCTTAAGACATTTCATTCTCAGTTACGAGCGAGTTACATTGAAAGGTATCGAGTTTACATCGATAATACCGCAACCGTTTAAACGCAGAGCCAAGTTGGATGAAACCCACACCATTACTTACATATTATATCGATATTATTGAAGTTTGTAGCGCAAGTAATGGCGTGTCGAGGATGATGTAAATAGCTTTGTAATAATCGGTTGCCACAGGAACCGCTTTGTCACATCGCAACACTTATGTCGATATATTCTCGACTAAACTCGATTTACCATACGCGCGCTGGTATGTAACCGCTTTATGGCATGCATTACACACTTACGTTCCCTGAAATTCTGTTTATATATACGCCCTGCTAGAAACGCGTTCCACGGCCCATATCGCATACCACGGACAATCGTTTATCCCTATAGCCTTATTACAATTGTCGCAATATGTTGCGGCGAACCATAGCGCGCGGTCCGCATGCTTGGCGCGGAGGAATTGTTCCGCAACGCCTGTAATTATTTCGTAGAGTTGCGGAGGAAAGGACCGAAAAAAAGAGGGACAAGAGAAAAGGAGTGCGGTTCTTTGCGTGTATAATTTTATTTCCAAGCGTGCACTTGGCAGATTTTACGTTATTTGCATTCATATTTTTTTGGAATGCGGTTTTACTCCCTGCAGATGCACTCATTCCTGCATTATCGGTAAATTTCTTCGGAGCAAGCCACGTAATCGAATAATTTCGAGGATTTCGTGCCGGTATTAAATTGCATGCCAACTTGCGGGTTTAGCATTGCCTTCCCTCAACATGGCTGGAATCGAATTGCGGAGCTTCGGGCACCACGAAGGACTATTTCATATGATTCTCACCTTCGATGACAAAATCTACCTCGTTTTGTTCTCGCGATCCTATGTGGGCAAATCTGATTATTTCTCACATTGCGTAATAACGCGTCAGTACCTATCAAGATTCTGAGAATAATTCGGTTATTCTGGATGCAAGTAAATTTTGCAGCAAATTACAATAATTTATTTTGTTTTATTGATATATCTAGATATTTCTCTTTGAAGATATAAATAATATTTTCAAAAATGTATAATTATTAATATAAATTGATTAGAATAAATGAAATACGATAAGATACAACTTAATTATATTGTATCTGCCGTTATTTTGATCTTAAGAAGAAGTGATATTAAATTCCGGATAGTGAACGAAGAAATATTGGGAATCACTAATCTCGAAAAGCAATTGGAAAGTTGCGCTACTGCCTCGGGATAAAGAGGAAGTTCACGTTTTTCTAAAAACGTCGTTTTTCTTCCTTTGCAAAATTGGAGAACTGCAACAGAAAACCGTTATACGAGTGCGCCGCTCTTGATTGACCTCAATCGAATATCCGATAGTTTGCTGCTGAGTAGATGCGGAGAATGCTGTACAATGAGTAGATAGGCGATCGTGCAGGTGGCAAAACACATTTATACAATATACAGTACGATTTAATTTTATCAATGTTTTACAAATCATTTACTATTGTCTCGAAGTGCAGCACAAACTAAAGGTGATTATAACTTTATTTCGCGATTCAGCATGAAAGACATGAACAAATTTCCACATAAAGATTATAAAAATATTCAATTTTAATAGATTTTTATTAACTTGAATTATATATTAATATAATAATTATGGATTTGCGTCTAATTAAAAAAAATAACGAAAATCTCATGACAAGACGCATTAATTTTAGAAACAATTTAATTAAGGAAAATATTGCATATTAAGTGGAGCTTTAAAAGTATTATATTATATTTAGTAAAATATTTTAAAATGGATTATGTGTTGTCATTCTCACACGTCGTTTCTCATGTCATATTATTATATGTCATATCTTAGAGCGCTCTCCTTCTATAATTATTATACATTATTGTCATTTTTAATTACAGCGAAGAAAGAACGTCTTTCGTCAGTTTATAGAGAATATTGCAATTTTTCGGAATATTTCCCGTGCAAGCGAAATCCGTCGACGTCGCCGTGTCTCACGTGAATGGTCTTAATATTTTATGTCAATACTTTTGTTTCTACGAGAGGGAAAAAGCTTGGACAAGCAAGAGCGGACTCGATTCGACACGTTCGCTCACGCGAGTAACTGATAAATCACATTTTACAGCGAACTGTATATCGAATCGAGATGGATGTTGACGTCACAGGGAGGAAAACTGGGGAGAACGAAAGTGGAGAAGTAAGATCGTGCAAAAAGACAGACGTGGGTGTCCGCGATATTTCGCTTTACTTTCGTGACAGAGACGCGTCTCCATAAAGGAGCTTTCGCTGTAAGCCGATCTTAATTCACGTTTGTTGCGCAAAGCGGGATAACTGAGACAAAAGAAGTCTAAACGAAAGACTGCCGCGATTTCGTCCCATTCGGAGCAAGCGGGTGCGTAATGATGCCTTTATGTAAACGCAAGGAGACGAGAGCTCGCACCACTCCGAGGGGTAATGAAGCGATACGGCTCGCGAAAACTTCGCCGTTAGTATTATAGTTTCCGCTCGTTCCCTCGCCGACGTTATAAGCACGATAGTGGAACTGCATCGAAATGTCCGATGATTCTCTTTGACCGCGGCAGAAAGAAGCGTTGTGAAACCGGACCAGAGGGAGAAACTTGTTTCGAGTGCCGGTGGGGTTGTTTGCGAATTCATGAGAGTTTACGTCGGTGTGCGGCGAACGGCCGCGGCTGGTTACAAGTTAAAGGGTTTGTGGGGCTATCTGCTTAAACTATGAAATATTTTAAATGCAAGCCCCCCGGAGTTTTCGCGAATGTCATAACTCGCGCGCTGGCGTAGTTACGGCGTAAGCCGACGTGCCGAAAAATTGCTTTTTTAAGTAGAGAGATGCAAGGGGTTTTTAGAAAGAGAACGTCGGATCATTTAAATTTTCTCAGAGAATTCGGTGCATCCTAAATCACCTCGCAGTCCGCGCATTAGTCTGCACCGAAAGAACGGTTGTGCTGAAGTATCTAAAAATTTAACTAGATACAGATTTGAAAATAATTTTGTTGCACTATCAAAATAATTATGTAGAACACTCAAATTGATTGTTAAAGTGTCAAAGTTTTTTTACAGTATTATCATTGTACTTCAGCGACCTACTGTAATTATTTTAATAGTGCAAAAAAATTATTTTCAGATCTGTATTTTAGCTAAATTTTTAAATATTTTAGTAAAACCGTTCTTTCCGTGTGCGATTTGCGTTTTTGCACGCTTTGGCTGTCTCAATTTATCACATTTATACATAGAA